GCAACACTAACAGAAAAAATGATTTTTCTGTCGGGTTTTGCTTTTTTTTTTGTGAGAAATAATACACATAAATTTTATTTTTAATCTGGGTGAATGCAATTTTTCTATGCGTGTAAGACCTACAGAAAAATTGTTTCTGACGGCGAACCGATAGAAAAAAATGATTTTTCTGTCATTCTATTTCTATGGGTTATTTTCTGACGGTACACCGTCAGAAAAATATTTTTCTGTCACATTTTTCTGTGTGTTTTTGTATACACAGAAGTATTCAAGTTTTCAGTAGTAAATAAACTGATCTTGTGAGGGCAGATTTTCACTGTAAACCGAAAACCAAACCGAACTGAACCGAAAAGTTGGTTTATTCGGTTTTTGGCTTTAACTTCGGTTCTTGTATTCTAGAGTTTGGGTTGTTGGCTTTAGTTACAGTTTTCTACTCAAACAGAACCTAAAAACCATTAAAATCGAACAGACGAAGCCATCAAGACTCCACTCTCCAAGCGTGACCCCATAGAGAGCAGAAAACAGAGCCCACCACGTCCAACCCCAATCTCATCTACTCCTTTTGTCCCAAAATAGAAGCCGTTATGAGATGCGTGCAGCTCAAAATTTCTCAACTTTGACTAGGTTTGTAGAAAATACGTGCAATATTTATAACTTTAAATAAGTTTATTATGAAAGTATATTCAATGATCTACCTAAGACATTAATTATGTACTATAAATATTAATATTTTTTATATATATTTAGTCGAACGTGTTCAACTTGAGACGGAGGGAGTACACGCATTCAGTCATTTCCGTCCCATTCCTGTCTCTGCCTTTCATCCACACTCACACCCCAAAACCCTAACCCCGCAAGCGGTGGGGCCATGTGGCTGACCAGCGCGCAGCGCATCTCGGAGCAGGGAATGGCCTGGTGCCGCGGAACGAGCTGGGAGCAGCCTGGCGTGGCGGTGCAAACAAGCTAGGGGAGCAAGGAGCCTCCGGCAAAGGAGCAGGGAGGCTGCTGCTGGTTGGTCGCTACTCCGCATGCTGGCTGCTGCTGGTTGCTTCGATTCGATCTCGTGTTTTTTTTTGAAAACGAATCGATCTTGTTGCTGATTGAGATTGGGATTGGGATTGAGATGAGGATGTGGATTAGATGGCCCAGCTATACATATTAATATATTATTAGTGCTGCTGTCTGGTGATGAACGTCCGTGTATGGCTCTCTTAGTCTCTTTTGGATGCGTTGCTGTTCGTGTGAGCGTGTGGATCCACTCGACTTCCTTGTTTTGTCCTGCTTTGCTGATTTTGTTGTCACTCGGTCGGTTCGGTTTAAACTGAATAACCAATGTGAAAAACCGAAACCAAATTCACTAGTTTCCAGTTTTGAAATAAACCGACAGTTATTGATTGTTGGAAACCGAAGTTTTACCAAACCAAAGAAACCGAACTGAATTTGTAGTTTAAACCGATTGCCCAGTCTAACTCATGCCTAACTGTATCACTGATTTTACTTGTTCACTTGAAATGCAGCGGCTTTGGAGTTGCGGCAGCCGGCAGTCAAATGTTGATGAAACTGTCAGCCCTCTGTTGTTGGACAAAGATCAGGAGCAGGACCATGAACAGGCTGCGGAAGAGGAGCTGTCTTTATCTTTACCAGGCCAGGCCAACAACGTTTTTTTTTTCACGAACACGTTCGTGTATTTCATTAAGATAAGAAGAAGGGTTGGTCCGGACACCGGTACAAAGAGTACTCACCACCGGTCATGCCCGGCGGCTTAGAGTGCGAGACGCATGCCAGGCCGCAAGCCTTGGCCAGACTCGTGCATGATTACAAACGGTGCGACAACAACAGCGCAGCTTGGTCAACCTGAGGGGCAGTGGGCCAGTGGCCCGTGTATTCAGGAAGAAGGCTGGACAACGGCAAGTGGATGAGAACTGGCTGAACTCCTTGCTGAACTTGGTTTCAGTCGTGAGCTCAAAATCATGGTTCTCGTATGTGTGCTGAGCTCTGTGCGCAGCTTCGTCATCTAAATCTCTTACATATTTTGCTCAAAAAAAATTCTAAATCTCTTACATACACTTTCAGCAAATGAAAGCAACGTGATGTTGCGAGAGGTCACGTACACAGCGCACACAGATGCTAGGCAGTACTGTACGTTGGAATGTTGGATTGAGTGTCATTTGCAAACTGATAGCAATTCACACGTGTAAACTATGTGAACTAACAACCATTCTAAACTGCATCATTTGCATGTCTCACCCTTTTTAGTTTTTGTTTACCCTGCAATATGCAGCTTCTGCCACCCCCCCCACCTTCTTCGGAACTGTGGCCCCCACATGCAGTGACTGCAGGGTTGGCAGCCTGGCTCGTATCGCGGCCTTGACTGACCTCACCTGCCAGCGGACAGGTGGCATGTTCAGCAACCGCCGCAACGAACTTGAGCCACGCCCACGGGAGGTACATCCAATCCGAAGGAGGAGGACGGGATGGGCGACACGCCGAACGCGGTGTGCCACTGCCAGGGCGCCTACGAGGCTACGACAGCCCAGAGAAGGACGACGTCCTGTGGGAGGTCCTCGGCGCGGAGGACGGGTCCGACTCCGACGACGTCGTCCTGCGCCAGCCTACGTACGGGCCGTGGCGCGACTTCGACGGCCCTAGCTCGATGATGCGCTGGATGATCGAGGCCGTCTCCCCGAGACAGTACCCGCCCGAACTCGCAGACGTGATTCCGGTGAGCTCGCGTTGATCTGGTCGTAGTAAGAGCCAGCTATCAGAGTGCATTCAGAAGTTCAGATTTGTTCGTTATTCAGATACCTGAGTGCTTGTCTTGGCCCTCCTGATGAGCACTAGCGCGCTGCCCCATTGCTAGTTTGCTACAGACTCCAGCGGTGGCCATCGGTGGTCGGAGCCGCGTGCCTGAACCGGTGCTTTAGCGGAGAATCCGGGTCCTGCGGGCGGACGACGAGGGCAACTTCAACCCACTCGCCCACCTGAGGAGAGATTGAGCGGCCGAGCTGGATGAAGCGAATGCCTCACGCATCACGCTGTGCGTGCGGCCCCCCTCCCAGGGGCGGCTGACCCCTCTGTTTGTCGACCAAACTGCCAACGAGGAGACCATGGAGCATGGACGTTGTCGTCGTCACCACCGGGTCACCAGGTGACGACTCTGCTGTTTCTTCAGCAGTCTGTGCAGCAGTTCGTATCTGTCTCTCTTCTCATGAAAAGTGATTGTTAAGTTGATCTACGAACTTGAATAGTGTGTGGTGTTAACTCACATGCTCGGACTTTGCTATTGAAGAATCAGTAAACTTTTTGCTGCATGTCAGATGTTCAAAAAAATCATAGTATTATACTGATCACAGTACGTAGATAGAGGCTTTCAGTTAGAATCGACCCTACTTTTCAGCCATGGAATATATTTTTCTCCCACAACAAATCAGCTCTACAAATCAGCCGCAGCCACAGTCGTACCGAACAGCCCAACTATAACTTGCCTACTACATGCTTTAGCTCAGATGTACATATACTTTTCTGTGGTTTTGAATATACCTGGTTGGCTAGTTGCTGCATCTGGTATCCTCTTCTTGGTTTGTTTGCATTGGGTCCTTATTTAGTTATTTTAGCCATTTAGTTTCAAATATTTATATTTCTTTTGGGGTTCTACATGTGCTTCAGAAAATGATATGCTTTGTTTGCTTATGAGTTTGGACTAATCTGAAACAAGCTACAGATGAGGAAGTAGATTGATTGAATGAATTTAATGATTTTGCTGTATTTAACTTTTCTGTTGAATATCAGTGTTTTTGTATAGGCTAAAAATATTCAGAATGTAGAAACAAATGGATCCGTTGTTACATTGTCAATTCACAAAATTCCATACCTTGTTCAGTGTCCAGGAATTTCAGTTTTCTCTGTCTTGTTCTGAACTGATGTTTTCCCCCCATTTTTACTTGCTGCCTTGTGAGTTCAGCTGCTGCGGCTTTAGTGTACCCAAATGTTATTGCGCCGTAGAGGAACACCGGAGCAAGACTTTTGACAACAAGGTTCAGAATCAAAAGTTCGCTGCTTAGGAATTAGGATACGATGAGATGAGAACTGGCAGTTCTTTTTTGTTCTAATTAATAGGTTTAGAAAACTCAGCAAGCCCTTTCTATGCTTGGTACTAGTAGGGTTGCCATGAAGTTTCAGAACTTGAAAATTGCTGAAAGCATTATGTGGAGATAAATGCTCGGACAATTTTTGCAGAGTAACAACCGTTGTAGTCACTGTCTTCATGGAATCGTTACGGTCCAAATTTTCTGAATTTAGCTTATATTCATGAACTGAAATCACTGGTGTATCATTTGTATGGTGAACAAATATTATGGGCAAAATTAATTCGAACTACAAAAAAGTGAAACAGAAAAACAACGGCTCCGTCGGCGTGCGGGATCAGCGGCGGCACGCCCGGTGACCGGGATTTGTGATCTGTCACGCCATGATCGCCACCTTTCTCTGCTATCCGTTGTTGCACTGCTCTTCAGAGTACGTAGCCGTTGACCGTTGTGCTTGTGCCACTCTTGCGGCTCCTCTTGTCCTCCACGGCTCCACCAAGAAGCCAAAACTGAACTCCATTTGTATTAGCATGCAAACAGGACAGGACAAAGGGAATAAGGAATGAACACGGAGAACCAAAACGGAACTCCATTTGTATTAGCAGATCGACTTGCGACACATTGCAGGTTCTCACAGCCCAGCAGACAGAGGCAATCCATTCGAAAACAAACAAACAAAAAACAGAAAGAGGTAACCACAGGACTGGCATTCCAGTACTGGAACTGCACACACATCTCCGTAACAACTAACGGTCCCGGTATGATTGTTCCTTGGCTTTCATCAACTCAGATGAGAATGGATGAGATGTCCATGACACAAAGCTGCAGGCTCTGCTCTATGTATCTGAAACGCAAGATCGAAAGAAGCTTCCACATGTTGACACGAGGAGTCGGGCTCTGGGCTCTCTGTCTCACCTATGGAGAAAGGGGGAACTGTATCTCCGGCTCATCATCAGCTTGGCCACCCGAGTTAACATATGATTCATCAGATGTTGGTGGTGCCATCTGCCATGCCCTCCAGTTCTCGACCGACGCGTCCGTGTCCCTCGCCCACTCCAACCGGGCCTGGTTTAGCCAAGAGTTAACAGACTGGGTCACCTGGCACTTCTTTTCCTCAGCGTAAGACTGTGTCGACCAAACATTATCTGCGTGCATGGAAAAGAGCAGCAATACATAAGGGTCAGCAAGCAATCATCATTCCAAATCCAAATGCTAGTGGAAGTCATAGTCATGATTCCTGAATTAAATCTTAGCAAGACGAATATATAATGGCTGATGCCAAACAGAAGAGTAGTGTTCTGTTCATACCAGATTCAGACTAAATCAGCAATTCTATTCTAAATGAGTATTCCAAACCCAAATGCTAAAAGAGCATGCAAAAGAGCAGCAATTAAGGGTCAAGCAAGAAATAAAAAATCAGCAATCCAAATCCAAATACTCGCGGAAGTTATAGTCATCATTCATGAATCAAATCTTTTTCGCAAGAAGAATATATTAAGAACCGATGCCAAACAGAAGCAGTGTTCTGTACATGCCAAATTCAAACTAATTTAGTGACTCTATTCTATCATCTATACACGCTGTGCAGTTGTAATCCTAGTGTACATAAGTAGTACATCTACGAATGTAACGAACATATTTCTCAATGATAAGACAAAGGCAATGAATCGGAGAAGCGCACACATGTCACGAGGATCCCTTGTAATCTGATCAGAGTGTAAGACAGTAAGCATGCAAACTGAAACTGGAAATGCGATCATATCCATCAATGCAGCATAAACTAGTTCAGATACTACTGTTACTAGCATGCACATAGGCTAATATGAATGTCGGAAACGACCTAGCCAGTCTAGGTATGAACACGCTTAATTTACAGTTGAATGCCGAGCATGCAGACACACAGAGAGCATCAAATCGAGATTTCTAGCAGCCATATGCATGGTGCAAACGATTGATTCAGTAAGCGAAGGCGAGGCAAGCGGATGCGTCAGAACTGAGCAACTAATGGGGATGTACGCGCGCATACCACCTGGTGAAGAGTCGTCGTCGCCCGGAAGCGTGGGTGGAGGTGGCGGCGGCTCCCAGGCATCGACGATGGGGCGGGAGGATGGGAACCTGAGTTGATCACGGTCTATCAGGCATTCCTTGCAGGCGACGACCGTCTTCTCGCGCATGTCCAAGCCGAAGAGCTTGAGCCTGGAAGAAGTAGACGCGTAGTGGTGGTCGTTGGGGTCGACGAGGGCGACGTGGGGCACCACGTCCGGCAGCAGCCAGCGTCGGTGTAGGTTTTGTTCTCCAGATTTCGGCGAAGGCCACCTCGCACTCGACGTCCATGCGTTGGGGCCCTCCGGTCGTCGAAAGCGCACATCCGGACGGTGGGGTTAGCAGCGGGTAGGTCGACGAGGTCGTCATAGGAGAGGCGCGGATCTCGACGAAGCGCAGCTTGCCCTCGTTGGGCTTGGCCTTGCGCGGGCGCTGGTCGATGAGGGTCCCGATGCGGGGTCGGCCGACGCCCCTCCATCTCGCAATCGTCCGGGAGCGGGATGAAGCGCAAGCTGGGGGACTCGAATTGGGGCGTCAGGGTCGTCAGAAGAACACGCGCTATAGGCGGGGCGAGCCACCGAGGCGGCCGTCGTGGCGATCACGCCGGTCTCGGAGAAGGGGTTGCATGCGCGCCTGCTGCGAGTTGAGCCTCGATGAACCACCGCCTTGGGCGGTGGAGTAGCAGAGGAGCCTGTTGGGGTGGTCGTCGGAGGTGGTGGGGTGGAGCTGGACGACTACGTAGTGGCTGCGGTGGTGCGGGTCGGCGATGAGGCCGATGCTGAGACGGGGGCGGATGTCGTGGCCCCTGGCCTGGATATAGGAAGACACCGGGGGGAGGATGGTGATGGTACTTCATGGGTGTTGCGAGAGGAAGAAGTCCGGGTGGTTGCCTTCGACGATCTGGAGGAGGATGCAGGCGGAGAGGTCGGCGGCGAGGATGTAGGCGTACAGCGGCTCGTCGTTGTGCCTAGGGTCCGGGGCGACGCGAGGGTGCAGCACCATGTAGGAGGGCAGCGGCGGGTCGTTGAGGTCGAGTAGCACGTCGGTTCCGCCGACGATCTTCTAGGCCCGCTCGTCCTCGTTGCCGAGGAGGACGGCAGCGGAGACGAGGGCCACCCACTTGCGCTGCGGCTCCGACTCGGGCTGCTTCTCCGCTTCCTGGCCGGCACGCGACGACTCCGCCACATCTGGCGCCGACGACGACATGGTTGGCGGCGAGGCGCTGCACTGGTTGGGGTGGTAGGAGGGGCGAGTCGGTTGCGTTGGTTTAATTTGAATTCGTGATCGGCGTGGCTGATGGCTGCAAGAGGAAGGGGATGGGGATTTTATAGGCGGGCGTGGTGCTACCTGCGCATCCATGGCAGCGAAGCACGGGCCCACGAGGGGCGTTCTCCATTCCTCCCGGGCGCTTACATAACGGAACAGGTGGGGTCCACGTGAGGTCACCCGAGGAAGGAAGACGAGCAATGGATGCACGCAGTGGCGACTAGCGAGGGCCATGGCCATTGATCGTATCACACTATCACACGAGTGTCGGCTGCCGCCGCTTGTATGCAAACATGCATGCCTCTCATGAGCCGTCTTTGTATACATGAGTCCATGAACATTAGCTTTTTTCTTTGAAAATTTTCTACTAGAGTAGGGGTGTCTTATTTTGCTCTCTACACCTAATTTCATGGCTTCTCCTTCTCCGATGTCCTCCTAGGCTTTGGGGTTTAGGGATTAGGGATTCATGGTTTTGGATATAAGTTGTCTCAAAAGAGAATCTTAAAGAGTGGAAGGTCAGTCCTTCAGTGGTGGTGGGCACGAGTAAGGGTGGAGGCGGCGTTACATCGTCGAAATTGGTCGGGTATACGGTGGCAGTGAGGTGAGGCAAGTTGGTATCACCGGCTAGGAGGCGGTTGTAACACCTCTGGTGTTTTGACCTAGAACTAAAACTTGACATGTCATCATATGCATTGCAAAGCATTCATAAAGAAGAAAATTTGGAATGCATTCACTAAATAAGATTTGTTTCATAAGTTGTTATTTTATGTGATGCAATGTGATTCAAAACGTTAAACAAAGATCATGACCACAAGGGTCAAATTTCATGTGATCATGTGAGATCATGTGTCATTTGACTCAAATAACCCTAATGGGCCATGTTACTGTTCAAAATTCAAATTTAAGAAAAAAGAAAAACAAATCAAATTTGAATTCAACTTTAAATTATAAAAGTCCTTTTTGCCCCTTTTGGATATTTCAAAATCCATTTGGAATTTGGGGTTGTGACAAAAAGCAAAGTTGGAGCTTATTTTATGTGGATCAACTTTGGTATTCAAAGTTTTTCAAGTTTACATATAAAATTTGGAGTAATTTTAAAATGATTCAAATACACAAATGCACCCCAAATTCAAATTTCAAAATGGAGGTAGAATTTGAAAATGTTCCTTGAAGCAAAGTTGTAGAGCTTGAAAAGTTGAGCAACTTTCATTTTTGGAGATTTTCAACTTCTTTAGAATATTTGTGAGTAATTTACAAATTAAACTTAGTGTCAATTCTGTAATTCTCATGAACAGTGTCACGATCACCGCCCCACCGCCGACGTACCTTCTCCGGCCTTCCAGGCTCGCCCTCGGTCGCCCTTGGCTTTGCGCTGGCATTGCATGCACGCTGCGTGTCGATTCCGCGTGCTCCTGGACGCGCTATAAAGCCTGGAACGCCGTCGTCGCCCTTTCTTTCCCTGCTCTGTTTCCCGACGTCGCCGCCTCAACTCCGGTGAGTTCCCCTCGCTTCCTCAGCCCAAACCAGCCTCGGAAAAGCAGTGTTACAACTCCGTCTCGTCCTTCTGAACCCATCTCAACCACTGTGGTTGTCTGGGATCGCCGAGAACCTCCGCTTGCGACTCTTCTTCCTCGCGGCCGGCGATCTCGACTGAAGCTCCGGTTCACCGCGGCCAGCATCATCTGGTGAGCCGTGGTCCTTGTTTGTAGGTTCTATAGCTTTTGTCTTGATGCTGTGGTCCTTATTTCGCTCTTGCTTGGTCATTTTGCCCACTGCAGTCGCCGACGAAGTCTTCTCCGCCGTGAGCACTGTCACCGTCGACCCGCGTCACCGTAGTGCCTCCGGTCTCGTTCTTTGCTTCATCACGTCCGGGGTGAGCTGCTGATCCTTTCTGAGCCTTTTGTTTGATCTCAACCGGCCTTGTTTCACTGGCGTAACGTTGTCGTGGCACCACGTCCGCCATGGACGGCGTGAGCCTGGTTCCGTGTCGTAATCCACCTCTGAAATCCCATAGATCGACGCGGCTAGTCTTTGTGAGTGTTTAGGTACCATGGTCGTCGCAGTTGAGCTCACCGTCAGTGAGCTAGCGTCGGTCAGCGCCGTCGAGGCCAAGGTCAAAGCCCGAGGTTAGGGATGACATGTGGGGGCCGGCTGTCAGTGAGAGCAAGAGAGAGAATAGTGACTTTTGTTATTTTCTGATTTTGAATAGTGCTGAATCTTTAGAAATTTGTAGAAAAATAATCATAGCTCCAAAAATTCTGAAAATTTTTGTGTAGCTTCTTTACATGCTCTAGTATGGTTTAAAAATTGGAAACTTGAAATTTGAATAAATTTTTAATGTTCAAATATTCAGTCCATTAATTAATAAATGCAATTTCCATGATTTTTGTAGGCCACTATATAGCTCTAAAAATTTTGAAATTTATTTTGGTACACTAATTTGTTATGAAGAAGCTTACATAAAATTTTGAGGTCATTTGGGACAAGTTTATTTTTGGGCTTATTTTAAATTAATTAAAAATTTAATAAAAGCAACCCTAATTGTTAGGGTTAGGGTTTAGTTTTTTTTGTTTGGGCCAGGTTGTGTGACCAGTAGGGTTTCAAGATCAGTTTGGTCAAGTCACATGTGTGGTTCTTGCCGATAGAATTGCAAGTTGGTTTTGTTGGCTTGCAACTGTACCGTGAAGGAAAATCGTATTCGGGGTGTTGTTACATTTCATGTACCGTGAAAGCATCATGTTTACATTATCATCATGTTAAAGCATATGTTATCATTTCGTGTAGAATCCGAGAGTGAAATGATTCTAGCTGAGCAAGTACTGGAAGAATCCCCGGTTGTCGCGGGATTTGGTAATTGTGGTACTGATCCGGAACCTAAGATCGTCAACGAAGGCAAGCCCCGGTTTATGCATTAAACCATTACCTTGTTTACTTTGAAAAGTTTATCACCTATGTTACTTATTGCATTAAGTTGATTTATTCAAATGTTACCTACTTGATGCATTGCCTACCTTGTTAATTGTTTACCATCCTTGAAGATGATTTCATTTACAAAGGCGTAGAATTGCTTAGTATGCTTTGTGGTAGGCTTTCAAAGTAAAAGTTTCGATACAATCAAAGATGGCATACTGGCCAAAGAAAGAAAGAAAGAAAGAAGATAGAATGAACTAGAGACTAGTCGGATGGCTTATCTTGAATGTTGGGTAATGTTGCCGACTATGTCGCTTAAAGGCCACTCATTGTGGATCTTCTGAACGAGACACTTTGTAGTACTGGTCACATACTCCAGTAAGCCTACTTCGGCTAATCCGATACTAAGATGAATGCCCACGCACTGGGAGTGGTGAGATGGCGGGAGTAGCGTGTACCCTCGTGGCTTGAATGTGGCCAGATTTGAGGCATGCTGTGCTCTCGGGTGGCATGGAGACGGCTTAGTATGGGAGGATCCGGTAGCGAGGTTGATATATGCAAGATTAAGTTCTACATATGTCGTGTGATAAGGAATCCCCAGCTGGGACTTGAATCAATTTGAATTGCCGGTGCTCCGCGGATATGGAGACTCGATTCATTACAGAAGCAATGCAGGACTGGTGAATTACTAAAACATGAGAAAAAGAATGGAATGAGAAGGATTGGAACATGGGATATGAACACTTGGTTGGAGATATTGAACTAAAGTACTTAGGGGTAAAACTTGAAACTAGGATCAAGAATAGTAAGCTTTTGGCAAAGAACTTTTGAAATTTTCTATATCCTTACCTTGCCCCAACACCTGCATCCCTAAGACCTTCGCTCCTTTTTCGTCGGGTCAGTCTTGTTGAGTACTTTTGTACTAAGGGTTTGTTAACCCTTGTTGCAGGTGAGT